AACAGTACTAGAACTGAGGAGTTTAAATACAAATATAAATGTATGTGTCATTCAAGATATACGCAAGAATTAGAGATTTAATCAAGAATGCATGAAGGAAACCATCTGTTTTAAGTTTTCTGTGTATTACTTGTTGGTGAAGAAGAGAATTTTACTATGTTTAGATACTGCTTGCAGCCAATGATGCATAAAAGTTTTTGTATTAGATGATGTTCTGGGGTAGGACTGGATAAGTCTGACTTCTTTCTACTCCATTCAAACATGTGCTGGGTATAAGCAAACTGATTCTGGATTATCAGTGGTTGGCTTTGTGTGTGTGTTGATGTCATTTGTTCTGCATGTTTGAAAGAATAAAATCAAATTTAAAAAAAATCAAAATCAAATCAATGACCTTTTCTGCAGTCCTGACTGTCTGCTGAAGTCTGTACTTGTCCTGTTTGGTTGCTGAGCCAAAACAGACAGTGATGGAGGTGTAGAGAACAGACTCGATGATTATTCTGTAGATCTGTATCAGCAGCTCCTGTGGCAGGTCGAACTTTCTGAGCTGGCGCAGGAAGTACATCCTCTGCTGTGCTTTCTTGGTGATGGTCATGATGTTAGATGTCCACTTCAGGTCCTGGGAGATAGTGGAGCCCAGGAACTTGTAGGACTTTACTGCTGATACAGTGCTGCCACTTATGGTGAGGGGGGGTAAGGTGGGGGGGTTCTTCCTGAAGTCCACTGTCATCTCCACTGTTTTGAGCGTGTTCAGCTCCAGGTTGTTGCGGCTACACCACAGGTTCAGCTGTTCAACTTCCCGTCTATAGGCTGACTCGTCACTGTCTTGGATGAGACCAATGACCGTTGTGTCATCAGCAAACTTTAGGAGCTTGACAGAGGGGTCCTTCAGGATACAGTCATTGGTGTAGAGACTTAGGAAAGATAACAAAGCTAATGTCAGCCTTACACCTAACAACTTTTCAAGCAATTTAGTGTAGCAGTCAAATTTCCAGCGTCGGAATAAAATCATGATAGTCTTCTACAGTCGTGTCGCACTTGCGTCATCTCAGCCGTGTGGTTTAAGGTGGTGATTAAAGCTGTTTTAAGTCACTTTTCTCATCTTGACATTCCGTTTAAATGAAATGTTTAATGTCATCATAAATTTTTAATCTAGGCTCATGCAGACAGTGAACATTGTAAACGAACACTAGGTGAGCTCTCTCCAGCACCAAACAGGAAGCAGCATTACAGAAACAGCATTAAATACATAATACATCTATGAGTAAATATGACGGAGACTCTGGTAAGGCACGGTTCTTTTGAACTATTGCAAAGGAGGTGAAACTGGTGGAGCTGTGAAGTGAGCAAGGGTGTCTGTTTGACGTGTCATCAAATTTGTACCGTGGCAGAGTGAAGGAAGAGAAAAGGTGGACAGACCTCGCTGTCCTCTTTCAGTCAGCCAGGGTCATGTCCACATTTTGTGTCTTCTCTTTCATCATAATCTTAAGGTGTAAGGCTAGCTTAAGTTAGATTAATTGCAGATATAGCAAGAGATGGGCAGCAAAAACATGATCTTCAAAAGCAGCTACTCAGAGGAATCTTAAAAAGGTAAGAAAACAAGCTCCTAACAAAATACCCTTTCAAATATGCGTCCACTCCAGCCTGTGTCTGGGTTGTGTTACAAGAAGGACCCAAATGCAGGACACCAAGCGGGTAATAAAAATGGACAGGCATTTTTTTGGGGAAAAACATGAACCCAGTATTAACTAACTAGTGACCAAAGAATGACAGGTGGGGGGTGAGTGGCGATATGCTCTCCCCCGCAAGATGGCAGCAGTAGAAACCAGACGGGTAGATGGTGGCGGACCATGCAGTTGAGCCAGGTAGGTATGGAGACAGGTGGGTATGATGGAAAGAGTCTTCTTCCTATGGGCGTCCAGGTCCCAACTGTCCTCCACACATAAGATTTCTTAAAGATTGTGGTAAAATATCGTCTTGTCTCTTTCTCTTGAACCCAATATTGTCTGTTGTCTTGTTTCATGAGCTAAGTGTATTGTCACAGTCCTACTGGTAAGTGTAATGGTAACATGGAAAATGATACCCATACTGTCTGCTGAGTGTGCTCAGTCTCATGCTATCCATGTATTTGTACTGTGTAACGTATGTTTCACTTTTCTCCCAGACACTCCACACTGCCCCTACACACATGTACACTTCATACACACCCACACACACTGTGTTTTCATTCCTTGTGGGGACTTTACATTGACTTGCATTCATTTCCTGCCTATCTGAAAGATGCCTATGAAGGCCACATGCCTAAGACATTTCTTATTGGTTCCAGCTAGTGGGGTGATAGCCAGTGTTGTACAAAACGTAGCTGTTACTTCTTTCCTTTGTCACTCACTGACTTTTTGCACTGAGTGTGTGACCTCCTTGATCAAGATACAGTATAATGGTATTTGTGCTTATGCTATTGTCTGATTTGCTTAATAAACAACACAAAAGATAATTTGAAAGCCTCTTTATCAGTTTCCACAACAGTAGGTATTCACTACTGCTGACTGGGAACATCCCGTGACCCTTGCCATTTTAGAGATACTTCGACCATCACCAAGAAGGCACAACAGAGGATGTACTTCCTGCGCCAGCTCAGGAA